GGGCGTCGCACTGGCAGCAGGGTTCAAAGGGGAGAACGCGCAAACGTTGCGGACCACGGTTCTCGTCGTGGTGGTCCTTACGGTGGTGATGTTCGGTGGTACGACGGCGTATATGCTCGAGGTTCTTGGGATCCGGACAGGGGTGGAAGATGACGGGGCGAGTAGTAGTGAGGAAGAGGTGTCGCGGTCTGGATGGATTGGAGGGTATGGTAGACGAAGAGGTAGGATGGGAGGGTATAGCGAAGAGGAGGAGGAGGAGGAGGAAGGGTATATGGCTTCGCAGCAAGCTGCGGCTGCTGCTGCTGCTCGTGGGCGTGTGGGGATGCACTACGGCCAGGTGGTACCGAGCTACAACCACCAAGCGCAGACGCCGCATCATGCTGGATCTCTGCTGAACAACACAATTTTCTCTGCCGCGTCGTCTGATTCGTATGACTCGGACGTGGAGGTGCTTCCGTTGGCTCCGACAGCGGGCGAGTCGAGTGCGGCAAAGTCGAGTGGTGGTGGTGGTGGCAGTGGTGGGCCGAGGACGCCGGGGAGTGCGGGGTTGTTGTTGCCTGAGGACGGGAAGTGGTTTCAGGCGTTGGACGAGCGGTATTTGTTGCCGCTTTTTTCGAATGCGACGGCGAGTCGGACGTTTCATGCGCGACGGGCGTCACGACGGACGACGTCTGGGATGGGGAGCAGTGCTAGAGTCGCTGGAGGGAGTAGGCTGGCTACTCCGGGAGAGTCTGACGAGGAAGGGGAGGATGGAGGGACGGAGTTGGATTTGACGACGGTTGGTGGTGGTGGTGGGAGTAGATCATCCCCTCGGTATGTTGGGTCGCCGACTGGGACGGAGGGGGATGAGGATGTGTTGGATATTCCGAGGGCGGCTGTGACGACAGAGGAGAGTAGGGCGGAGAGGGGGTTGGCGAGTCCAATGTTGAGGAGGGATAGTGAGGGGATGGGACGGGATAGGCTGTCGTGATAGGGTATGTATGTTGAAGTGTCCTCATTGATAGATGGAAAACAACGACGCATTATTGACTAGTTTTATTACTGGAGGCGGCATGCAGTCCAGCAATCTCGACCACTATGGTGTTACCCTGATTTACTCAACGAGAGATGAAAGGTACAGCATGTACAAGCTGCGTTTGTGAAATACTGCCAGCTCCATGTCTCATTACAGTCGGTGGTTCATTCTTTGACGGAGACCTGCTCTTTGATCGAGGCGGGATGCGCGTATACATAGGTACCTGAATCCCGCCTCTTTCCCTTTTCTATCGTGGACTCGATTTCGATTATAATCATCGGGCAAAATGATGTATCAACCATGAGATGATGAATGATTGTATCTGTGAACTAAGACTCTGCTCGCCCGAAAGATGGTCCAAAGTTGACCACCGTTGGCCAAGGTGGATTTGCAGCGTCGTCGGACTCTACACTACTGAGCATCCCCCTCGTGGGTTTGACTGTGAGTGTTTTATTTTCGACGGAGGCAAAAGACGGTGGACAGCGATCAGAGAGGCGTGCGATGATCACAGCACAGCCACAACACTATACTAGCTCATCAAGGAGATGCTACCAAGGCACACAGGAACACAGCTCACTCACATTCCCAGCCGGGGGCTTCGTCAGATGGTTGCTTGCTGACCTGTTCCTATGCCCACACCGTGCAAAGAAGGACCGTCGAACGTATCAGTATATTTATCCACTGGCTGCGAGGGCATGTTTTGCGAGTCTCGGAGATAAATATTAAATGTAGTGGGTGGGTTTATATAATCATCACGCAATTATAAATCAGCCACTGACGGCGTCGGCGTGTCGAGCTGATGAGATTCAGTACAGCCAGGTTTACGATCTCTAGTTTCACTTTTATCTAACGACCAACTTGCACTTCACCCTCTCCTCCCTCCCTCTCTCTCTCTCCCCTTCTTCTTCACGTCTCCCACCAGCGTGTCTCGCATCCTCGTCGCCTCGGACTTCTCGTTCTTCCTGGCGCTGAAACCCTCGCAACCTTTGAGGAACTGTATCGCTTCCTTCTCTTGTCTACGGCTGACCATTCCTCCGACTCTCATAGCGAGTGAAAAGACAGGAGCTGGGCTCTCACCAATACCCTCTCGCCCCCAATACAGTACTATTCAGTGCCCAGCCCCGATCACAATCCTACAAGAAACCATTTGAACCCCTAGCCTCTCAAATTATCCGCACACCAGCACCACCATGGGACGCACAGCAGACGACGACCCTCTCAGCATCGCACTCGCTCCGCCCCCGGGAGAGACAGAGCAGCAGCGTCGAGCGCGTTTGTCCCGCGAGGCAGAGGCGAAACGCATCAGCGACGAGATTGACCAGCAGCTGAGAGAGGAAAAGGCGGCGTTGAAGAAGAAGAAGCCGATCAAAGTTTTGCTACTCGGTCAGAGCGAGAGCGGTTCGTTATTCTCTCTCGCAAAAATAAAAGACATCGCATATCAACTGACTCTGGTCTCCCAAAAGGCAAATCCACCACACTCAAGAGTGCGTTCAGTAGTTCAAGGTGGCCTCGCCCATGCTAACCTTTTTCTTGTCTCCGCAGACTTCCAACTCACCTATGCAAGGAAAGCATGGACGGCAGAGCGCGCGGCCTGGCGGACGATCATCCTGCTCAACCTCCTCCGAAACGTCAACACCGTCCTCGACGTCCTCAACGCCGAAATGTCTCCCGCCTCTTCCCCCTCTGATCTCGCTGACTCCAGCGACAGCGAAGACGACGAGGACGACGATGACACCCCGCGTAAACCCAAGAAACCCGTACAGACCAACCTCCCTCCCCTACACTTCACCGAGAAACACCGTCTACTTAAGCTTCGTCTGCTCCCCCTTCGGAGCGTGCAAACTGACGTCCAGAACCGACTCGGCTTGTGCGATTACCCCATATCGTCCTCCTCCTCCTCAAGCAGCAACGGCAGCGGCACTGAGACACCGTCAAAGCAGCAGCGGCGCAATCACGAGTTATTCGTTTGGTCGAACGCGACTTGGAAATCAGGGCTGACGGCGCGCAAACCAGAGGGACATCATGCGAGGAAGGGAAGCGACGCACGGATAAACAACAGCGGTAACGGTGGTGGTAGAACAAGCGAGGATTCGGAAACGATGGAGATTATAGCGAGTTGTAAGGAGGATATGCAGGCTTTGTGGGCGGACGAGGTCGTACAGGAGATGTTGGGGAGACGGCGGTTGAGATTGGACCTTATGCCTGGCTTGTGAGTACTCTCTCTCTCTCGCGTGCGCGCGCAGCGAGCTCAGAACTAACTGGGTAATCGTTTCTCGATAGCTTTTTGCCCGACGTTCATCGGATCGCTCGGAGAGATTATACACCGACGGACGATGATATTGTTCGTGCCAGGTTACGGACGCTGGGCGTTCAGGAGCACAGGATATTGTTCGAAACTGGTATGTGACGATCACACTCCTCACTTATTCACTCACTTACTTGCATTTTACCCAATCTTCTTCCGCACGGTTTTGTCGTTCGTAACTTGCAATCTTTCGGCAGGTCCTGCTGCAGGCACAGAATGGTGTTTGTACGACGTCGGGGGATCTCGCACGCAGGTACATACATTTACCCGATCCGTCTTTCTCTTTCCTCGCACTAGCTGACTCCTTCCATCAACAGCGCCCCACATGGTTCTCTTATTTTGAAGACTGCGACGCGATCATCTTCCTCGCGCCAATCAGCTGCTTTGACGAGAAACTGGCCGAGGATCGGAAGGTGAATAGGCTGGAGGACAGTTTCCAACTTTGGCGGATGATATGCTCGTGCAAGTTGTTGGCGAACGCGCAGGTGATCTTGTTCCTCAACAAGTGTGATTTGTGTGCGTCCTTGTTGTTTTTCTGTCCTCTTTATTTTCTTGGTTTGTTTGGTAACTGACTGAGAGAGGAGGATAGTGGATAGGAAGTTGAAGGGAGGAATACGTGTGAAGGATTATGTGCCGAGTTTCGGGGAGAGGAAAAATGATTTGCAGACTGTTGCTCAATGTATGTGCTCTTTCCCTCTCTCTTCTCAATCGGACACTGACCGGGCGATTCTGTTTAAAAGACTTTGCACAGCATTTCAAGGAAATTGCGAGGCAACATACGTCGAGTCTTCGACCGTTCCGGGTCCATCTTACCTCTGTCGTAGTACGTACACGCACCTTGTTTTCCCAGCATACGGCATCATTTTGCTCACCTCGTTGTGGATACTTTGTTCCAATAGGATACCCATGCTACTGCGCTTACGCTAGGAGTCGGTACGCAATTTCTCTCCCAATCCCTTTCTTCTTAGTGTTGTTGATTGGGATTTTCCTTTGCAGTGGGGGAGAGCATCTTGAGGTCGCAGTTGCGTAATGCAGACTTGCTTTGAATGACTTGCTGTTTTTCCATCTGTGAGTGCCCCCTTCTCTCTCCCTCTCCCTCTTTCTGAAGCCTGGGTTGACAGAGTATAGTACTCTCACAGTTACCGCTCGGCGCGTTCTTTTGTTTGTTCATTCTAGTTCGACATCTTGGTGTTTTTCTCTCTCCCCATCTCTCAGTGATATATCTTGCCTATATAACCGGTTGGTTTGAGTTACGGGTTTAATACGAGCGCTGAAGTTACTGAAGCCCTGCTCGATCCACCCCATCCATCTCATCTATCGTAGTTTTATGTATCTAGTGGTTGTGATATGTACTTTGTTTGAACGCTTGATGTATAAAGCCAGGTCTTTTCAATATACTTGTTGGATTTTCTTGGGGGCCTCGAGAGACTGTGTATGCTTGAACGGAAATACAGCTAGTTCGTCACACAAACCTGCTGATGTAAAAATATGTACTACGCCAGTCCAGGCAGTAAGTATCTTCTCAGTACTCAGATAACCAATTCGCCGAGTTATGAACAACTCTCATTTGGAATCACGGTCACAATTACCTGCTTTGAGCAAGGAGCCAGGTAGGAGGCAGCTTGGCCTTCCATAAAAGGATGCTCAGGCCAGCGAGAATACGTTTGCGCGACCGTGTATCGCTGACAGCAGGATTTGAACCTACGCGGGCAACGCCCAAGTGATGTTTGACAAGAGGGGTTCAAATCACTCGCCTTAACGACTCGGCCATATCAGCTATTCAGATTTTCCTACTACTGTGTAGATGATTGAGATTTTCAGAGAATGGCATAGGCTCTGTCGCTTCTCTTCGTTGTTTGCGGTGCTTGCGGACGTTCGAACAAGGTCTTCCGAGGTCATATCAGCTGCTAACGTGTAATTAGCAGGAGACCTTTGGTTGTACGTTGTACGGTACTTGGTACCAGTCTTGAGAGTACAGTACATAAGTGCTCATACCGACTACGGTGTCCAAACCGTTCATATCGATTAATGGCCGCTGCAATTGCAAGGCGCTATAGCCAAGTGGTTAAGGCGATTGATTAGAATCATTTGATTACGATCAATTCCACTTTGTGGGCGCAGGTTCAAATCCTGCTGGCGTCGTTCGTGAGTCCGTAGTCAAAATTTTGCTGTTTTCAGGTCAGTGGCATTTGCGGTTGTGCTCGCCATCGTGACCGCACACAGCCTGCCTCAAAATACAGCCGCCTCATCGCATCACAGCAGACGTTATCGGCGCTGCAGCCAACTTCAGGAGCAAGGCAAATAACCTGCAGACCAACTGTTCATAACGCACTAAGATTGAATCAAGAAAATTTGAGACTATATCAACGGTTCGACCGGAGGGGTATATATATGTATGTAAACAACGCGGGAGCCAAAGACAGCATGTCAAAACAGCAGTCTGACTACCCCCACACAGAACAAGCTTTGGCGCAACCAATCCCCACCAAATAACGTGAACGCAATCTTCCTTTTCTTTTTAATAAAGTTAAGAAAAGAGAGAAGGTGGGAAGGGAACCGTTTCTTTAGAGGACGGCGGCCACGGCGACAGTGACAGCACCTAGCAACGACGCAATCATGCCTGCGCCAGAGGAGCCAGGGACACGGGTGCTCGCTGCGCCGCTTGTGCCGCCCAAGATGCTGTTCGACAAGGACCCGGCGGCCTGGACGGCCCCGCTCAAGAAGCTACCTCCGCACGTCGTCTGAATCGCTTGGTACAGCGCCGTCTGGCCCTTGAGCAGGACACTCTGAGCGAGTCCGGGGGCGTACGAGATGTCGGATTCGAAGGAGATGTAGGAGGTCATGATCGAGCGCGTGCAGGACTGGCAGAGCTTAGACTCGTCGAGGGTGGGATCGAGGAAGAGGAAGGCGGCGTTGCTCGATTGGAGGGCGGAAAAGTTAGGGGTCAGGGTTTGCTGCGAGCCAGTGTAGAGGGAGGAGGCAGCCGGAGGGGTGCCTGCGAGCTGGGTGATGCAGTAGTTGCCAGAGTCGTCTTTGGAGCATGCGGCCTGGATGTACGGGACGAGTGTGTAGAGAACGTCGTAGATGTTCATTACCTGAGCGTTCGGGCTCGACGTAAGCTCGGGTTGGCAGGCAGCGTAAAAGTCTGCGAGGGTAGAGCGCATGGTGGCCTCGGAGCATGCGTTTGTGTTCGAGCAGAGGCTACTGAGGGCAGTGGTCGCGCTGGCGGTGCCGTTGGAGCCAGGGGCGAATGCGGCGGTCGCAGACTTGACCGCGCTTGTGCAAGTGGCCATAGTCGTGTCCTTGTCAAGGGTGGTCAAATACGATGAGCATGTCGTGCTCAGACCGGTGGGGATGGTCTATACGTTGTTCGTTGGAGGTTGCACGACTACACACATGAAAAAAATCACCACATACCGAGGCCAACGCAACAGAGGCGAAGAGGGAAATTGCGGCAAAAGACTTCATCGCAGGGAACTTTACACTAGCGATAATGAGTGGACGAGTTGTTTAGTGTCGACGACGACGACTGGATGATGAAGGTTTTATGAGAAAAGAGTGCACGACGAGTGCTTCAGTGGGGGATGGCGACAAACCTGTTTAATTTGATTGTTTGTTGCTACCAGCCGGCAACCAAACATGTCAAAACAAAGATGTGGCTGGCATCGGCCTTCCATCACCTTGTCAAGGTTTTCTTCGCAGCGGTGAACGTCGAGCAATAAACTATAAGCTGTTTTCAGGCATACACTACTTCGTGATAGCCTTTCAATGAACGTAATATCCAAACAACTCGTGGGCAGATGTGTTACAATTTCGTCTATTCCTATGAATTTGCTACACGACGGTCATCCCAAAGGTCTAGTCTACATGTAGTGGTGGTATACAAGACATTTACAGCTCTGCAAAAGTAAAGTATAGTCAGCTTACGCAATCACATTCAAATCATACCAGAAACATACTCTGCATGGCAGCGATGTCAGTGCTCTGGACGTAGTCCTCGAGCTCCTGGACCTGCTCCTGGAGTTCATCGAGAGACACAAGGTCGTCCTCTGGAGTATGACAATGAGCTTCGGTCAAACGCGAGAAACCAAAGCATAACGCGTACCAATAACGATTGTGATCTGCAGTTTCTTGATCCCATACCCGATGGGAACAAGCTTGCTAGCACCCCAGACGAGCCCCTCCTTCTCGATCGCACGAACTTGCTTCTCGAGCTCAGCCATGTCGGTCTCATCGTCCCAAGGTTTGACCTCAAATGTCACAACAGACTAAGCACCCACAGAGAACGATCAGCTGCAACTTTTCAAAATCACCCAGGGCCAGAACAACGACGAACCTTGGCAGCAGCCTTGGGCTTGTTCGCTTTCTTTGCGTTGTAGGCAGCAACACGCTCAGCCTTGAGACGCTCCGCCTCGGCATCATCCTCGTCGTCAGAGCCGAACAAGTCGATCTCATCGTCCTCCTCTTCCTTCTTCTCAGCAGCTGCGGGGGCAGCTGGTGCAGCGCCAGAGCCGAGGAAGACCTCGCCCGCGGTGCTTGAGCCGGGCAGGGACTCAAACTCAGAGGTGTAAGAATTTATGTGGGTGTACCAGCGAGTCACGTTGGCGAAGGACGCCTCGGGCTGAGAGGAGATCGCCTTGAAGACGGCGACGTCCGCTTGGGAGGGGGTGTACCTAGGCGGTGAGGTGAGTTGGAAAATCTCGAGTTTCGAAATCGCAGTAGAAGGGAAGACATGAAACAAAGGCGTGTTCAGAAGGCTAGGTTAGATATGATTGTCGGCATGTTTTTAGGCAGCGGTGTCTAGTCGCTTTTCTTGGAAACACGGACCATAGCGTTGTGTTCATCATTCGCAAAGAAGAGACAGCGATTTTGGGGACGCAGAAGGAGAGAAGGAAAAAGAACTCACCCCTCGACATAGGACCTCTGAACGAGGTGAGAATCAAGCTTTGCGAAATCGACAGACATGGGTTCGTTGGGGGTGGTAAGGATGAGAGTAGAAGAGAGAGAGTACCGAGTTTTGCAGAGATCGATCACAATTTTCTTGGACAGTCAACGTTTAGTTTAGGGCAGGTCGAACAACTGATCAAGCGCCCGGCATCAGCTCCTGGTACAAATTGACGTTGCGCATACGTAGTGTTGTTTCCGTTATAGTTGGTTGACTGTGCGAAGCAATCCAGACAGTATTGATACACTATTTGCCACTGATAACGCGCGGCATTACCATCCGTACAGAGTCGCATACATTGGCAGGAGCAGTACTAGTGCGCCTAACGAAGAGCCTACAAATAACATTGTGCTCGTTAGATCGCGGCATGGACTAGATGAACAAAGGTGCACAGCTTACCAGTCCAGCAAACAGGCGAAGATCTGCCCGAGTTTCGTAGTTCTCCCGCCCATCACCATTGACCTTCACGACATCGAACCTGCCTTCTTCGCTGTTCCAATGAAACACTCGCTTCACCCCAGCCCACCGGCACCATTCTAGACAGCGCCAGCAAGGCTTTGCCGACCCTGTCCCGTTCTTCGTAATCCTCGCAACGTAGATGTCGGCCCCGTTCACACGGGGCTCCCTCCGACGCACATCCCACCCCTTTCCAGGCTGCCAGACTGGAGGAGGCAAGGCCGCGGGGCACTCGGCACCAGTACAGTCCTCGCCGACTGCGAGAATGCGCTGTTGCTTATGCTTGGACTTTGGCCCCTTTTGTCCGTAATTTTCGCAACTTGTCCGGTTTTTCTCGCGTAGCTGGTCGTTGAACGGCTTGAACCTGCGTCTTGAACGAAGGAGACATGCCAGTGAGACTGTAGATGGCATGCATCTCTGCATGCATGGAGACGGGCTATGGGATGGGCTTAGATATTTTGGAGATGAGCCTTTGGAATGGCAGGGCTCTCACCTTGCGATTCCCGTGGGCGCTGTGGTCGTTTCCGTCGTAGTGGGTTCTGTAGTGGTTGTATCCAGTGGAGATGATCTTTCCGCCCTTGACCATGACTGCTCCTAATGTGAAGCACATCGGACTCTTGGATGCGGCCTCTGCGCACTGTGAGAAATAATACTGTGTCTTGTTCATCGTTCGTAAAGTATGTTGCTGTTTGCTGTTTCTTGCGGGATGAAGGTCGAGCACAAAAGCTGATAATGCCCCTGGGGATTCCCGATGAATCTGGGCTACCCGATTTCCAGGGGGCGTTGCCGTGTTTGGAAGGTCTAGTCACAGCAGTCCGTTGGCCTGCAGATATCCTAGTCTCGGTCCCAGACGTCTAGGCAGACTTTCCTAACGAGGCAGGAGACAGCAAGACAGGAGACAAGGAAAGAAGCCTAGACGTCTGGTGTATTTGGGCGGGCGCTCGTAGGTCACTCTCCCATCAAAGAATGTTCTACGTCACGACGAGATATCTAGCGAGACGCCCAATCTAATCTGTGCGCGTCTGCTGCAGGTGGTCTGTGGTCGCGTCGCGTCGACATATGTTTCCTTGTCCTCTCTCGTGTCCCCCTCGCATATAGCCACTAGAAACTTCATAATACATATCCTAAGCACTCAATACAATATTCAGTCACTTTATACTTCCAAAAATGCCCCACAAATCAACCATACCGCCCCAGAAGAAAAAGAAGTCTATTGATAAGAGTAATACACAGAAGAACAAGGCTCCCGCTCGTCCCCCTCCGCATCCGACGCGTAATAAGCCATCCCCAGATGAGCCTGATGCTGCGGTCATTGCTCGTGTTCAGCCGCTTGCACCGGAGACCCCCCTGCATGCAGAATCTTACCAAATCCTTCAGCAAGCCCGGGAGGTAGCTAGAAAGAACAAAGACCGGCAGTACTCATGGGCGAAGACTCACCAGTTCATGCAGGACGAAATACAAGCACGTACCCATGGGAAGATTCTCTGATATTATCAGGGAGATGTCGGGGAGGCTTTTGCTCTGGGGTTGGATTTGGCTCTGGTGTCTGCTACTGGCTCCGGCAAAACTATGGCCTTTGCCGCTGCATTGGCAGCAATTGAGACCAAGACATCAAAGATTTTGATCCTATCTCCACTTAACGAGCTCGAGAGAGACCAGGTAAGTCTCCCTGATGGGTGACATTTGTGTGAGACACACGTCAATGAGGATTGGTGCACTTATTGTACCTGATAGGCTGCGC